CATTGAAATATGCCACATTTTGAGAGCCTGAATCCTGAGCTCCAATGTCATTCCCTGTGGGAGTCTGCTGCGGGTCGGCTTGATGACCTTTGCTAGGCGTGTCAGAAAATTGATGAGCATCATGCATTTGATCAGGATAGTGTACGGCTACATCTTTCCTATCATCTGGTGATTTTGCAGGTGCTCCTCCATCAGATGCTGGAACGTCTCCGAACCACACCAGACTGCTGTTATCCTCATAATCATGAGCATCTAAGATCGACTCGCTCTCTTCTTCTAAACCAGCCAGAGTACAGTCGTCTCTATAGTCCACCTCCTCTGGGTCTCCATCTTTAGACGAGTCAGGTCTGTACGTGCCATAACCGGACGTTAAAATGCTTGCGGCAGGGCTGCCCAGACTTTCGTGAAAATCCTCATCATAGATGTCTCTAGTTTCCTCCTTCTGCCGTACATCAGCACGCTCTTCTCCCCAAGCAGGTAACGTGTTATGATCGTCTTCCTCTTCTTTCTGCGAATGGCCACTGGATATTGTAACATAATCATCATCACTTGCCCATGACTTCCTGTCCTGGTCCCAACTCTCCTTTTCCCCAACAGGTGCATCAAAAAACCAGTCTATTTCCTCTTTTTTCTCACAGCCTCCTTTAGATACTTCCTCCTCCTCTTCCATCCCACTTTCATGTTCATCTGCCAGACTGACATCTTCGTCTTTTTCATCACTCTTTCCAAGTTCCATCTCTTTGTCATATTCATTGATAAAACATTCTCTCTCTTCCTCTTCACTGTTTCCATCTCCAATCCCATTCCTCTCCTGTTCCTCGTTGCTGTCAGGGTTTTCCTCCGTTTTCTTCCTTTTTGCGAAAAAGTCATCATTCATGTCTTCCTCATTTTTAGGTTCTCTCTCATTTGGTTTCTCTCTTCCAGAGTTTCCTGTGCTCTCTTTCTTCAAAACAGATTTGCCACCATCTATTTTGTCCTCAATGCCTTCATTCTCGTCTGATACACAACATACATTATCTCCTTCTTCGTTTTCTTCTCCTTCCTCCTCATCTTGTACTTCTTCCCCACTTCCACCTTCCTTGGTGAGACCCTCTTTCTTTTCATCACTGTTTGCATCTTCATCTGTACACTTTTCTTCACTATTTGAGTCTTCTTTTGGAAAACACTCTTCTTCTTCTTCTTCACTCTCCTCCACACTCACCTGATTTTTCTCGCTCTCTGAATCATTGCTTTGGACTTTGTTCTCCTCAGAGTTTTCTCCATTGACAGAGCTCTCTTTTTCCTCCTCACTATCCTCTTCCTCCTCACTTTCTTCTAGATCATCCTCTTCCTTCTTTTTATTCATTTTTCCCTGTTTACACAGCTCAAACTCTTCTTCCTCATCTTGACTTCCTTCTTCCTCTTGACTTCCTTCTTCCTTTTCCTCCTCCTCACTTGTTTCTCCTTTTTCCTCTTCACTTTCTTTCTCTTCACTTCCCTTTCTCTTTTCCTCCTCTCCCTCCACTTGACTTTGTTCTTCAAGCTCTTTTAAAATTTCTTCCTCTTCACTTTCTTTTCCTTTTTGCTCCTCCTCTTCAAACTCTCTTTCCTCATCTTCACTTTCTTCCTCCTTTTCATTCCCTAGTCCTGTTTCCTCGTCTTCACTTTCTTCTTCCTCCTCTTCAAGCTCTTTTTCTTCATCTACACTGTATTCCTCCTCATCAAGCTCTCTTTCCTCATCCTCACTTTCTTCCTCCTCTTCATTCTCTAGTCCTGTTTCCTCATCCTCTTCAAGCTCTTTTTCCTCATCTCCACCGTCTTCCTCCTCATCAAGCTCTCTTTCCTCATCTTCACTTTCTTCTTCCTCATCCTCACTTTCTTCCTCCTCTTCATTCTCTAGTCCCGTTTCCTCCTCCTCTTCAAGCTCTTTTTCCTCATCTCCACTTTCTTCTTGCTCTTCATTCTCTTTGCCTTTTTCCTCATCCTCCTCTTTTTCTTGATCTATGCCTTTTTCTATTTCAACTCTATCTACCTCACTTCCTTCATCACCTACCTTGGGATTTGTTTCAGCCAGTACATATTTCTCATTCCCTTGAAGAGTTTCCTTCATCCTCTCCTTTTTATCATCTCTGATTACAAATCTTTCCTTCTCATCATTACTGTCTCTTTCAGGCTTTCTTTCAATCCTTCTGTTTTCTTTTTTAACATAGTCCCTGTCTTCCCCCTCACTTTCCCGATCCGTCCAGAAAGAAGAGGACAGGAATCCTTCATCGTCCTTGCTTTCATTTTCCAAATGGCTGTCAAAAGCTTTATACATCTTGGGGTAGACGGACAGATCTCTCTTTTAGCCTTCAGTAAGAAAATGAAATCCTCTTCTAGGCCAAAGCAGATTGCTGAGAGGGAGGGGGAATGTAACTAAGAAGATTACTGATAAGAACTTTACTGGGTTTATTATAAGATTAATTGCACCACCTGGTGTATGGGAGGTATTATTACTACTCTTCAGGATATAATCTGTACACTACCATTCAAATGTTTGTGGTCAGTATTTTTTTCCCTGTATTTTTAATCTAATGAATGCAGACTTGGTGAGAATTAGAATATTTTTTCAGTGTGTCAGAAATTAAAAGTTATATAATGCGTTGTTTCACATATTATTTTTTTTAAAGGTATACATCATTAGATACTTTGCAACATTCAGTATGTAGTTTATTAGTATTCCTGAAACATACTGACTGGACTTACCAGAATCTTCACTATGCGTGGACTCATCACAGACATGAGACCGACCTTGATGCTTTCTATGTAAGGAGATAGAAAATAATGTTTTATTACACATGCGCATGGATGATGAGGTTGTTTTTTTTTTACTTTAGCGATCAAATCAAGAAATGTGTGTCCCCACCTTAACACTTTCCTTTTAATCACAGGCTTCAAATGAGCCTGATGATCTCTATCAGGACTTGTTGTCTCACTCCCATCCAAAACTGAGTGAAATATTTCTGAAGGGCCTTCCTCAGTCTCCAGCCTGTTGGGTGCAGTGGAGGGCCGAGCTGGTCTGTGAGCAACTGAGTGCCGTGAATATGAATCATAGTAGTGATTCATACCAGTGTCTCTGTGATCATCCTCATTAAAAGTGGAGGTGAAAATCTAGGAATGGAAAATAGGAAAAACATACATGTTGCGTACACAGTCATAAAACGATTATTTTTGACGTGTTTAAGTCACCATGAAATCAAAATAGTTCAATTCGATTCTTGTTTTTTAATGGAATATTTCAGTTTATATTGATTTATCCATCTTTTTTAATTCATGTATTCTCATAATTTGGATCAAAATAACTCCCCTTCTCCTCTTCTTTGATAATGCGTTTACCGGCATGAGGGTGGAACAACCTGTCACTCACCAACCATGACATCATAGCAATAGCAAATTCCCGGTGGACGAAATGAAGTTCCGCCCTACATTTTCTATCTAATTTGAGAAGCTGGTTTACCCACATACATCACAATAATGAAGAAACCACTTTCACAACTTCTGTCTCTTTAAAACATCATACCTCTCTCCGTTGCCCTGTTGAGCTGGTGTTCAGGAGAACGTAGTTACAACTGGGACCAATGTTGTTCAGTTGGACTGCGGCAAAAACACAATTTTAACAGGTTAAGTGCGTTAAAAATGCTTTAAAGTCACATGAAATTGCACAGCATAAAGCCGGAGTGTCTGCTTACCCTTTTCCTTAATGAGCGCTGGTGGACTTTTGCTGGAACTGCTGTGAGATGTTGGAGAAGTCCATCCACTGGAGCTGTGACTCTTTGACTTTTCATGACGAATCAGCTGATCTAGATCTGGCGGAGATTCATAAATATGACAGCTCTACTTCAAGGCAAGACATGCTATAAAACGCAAATAAATGCACTGATATAGACTGGAACAGTTCAAAATATGAGCTCACCTCGCTTGAATTCCCGCAGTCTTTCTTTGGAAATATTACTGTATCCAAGTGCAGCTAACTGAAGCTGAATCTCCTCCTCAGAATAGTCTAAACTCTCCATCTTTTAAAAACAAAATAAAAATATCAGACATTAGTCAAATTCGTCGTATTTAACGTTACTCAAGAGAAAACATCTAGCTTATCTGCTAAGTTTAAACAAAACTCAACAAAATCTTTCTTAACTGGCTCACTGACAGCAACATTCATAGTGCTGAAATAAGAAGGCTGTTGTGCAACATATGAAAAGAAAGCATAAGTGAAGTTTAAAGCATAATTATTATTCCTCACCTTTAAATGGTCAGACTTTACAGTTGTTGTCTTCACAAAACCAGGACAACGGCGGCGGTTCCGTTTTCAAAATAAAAAGATAACAGAGTAAGAAAGCGCTTCAATTAAAGTTTAGAGCGCCATCTGGTGTTTGGGAGACACTATGAGCCACATTAATTCAAGTTAATTTAATTTAATTTAATTGTATTTAATTATTTAATTTAATTTAATTTAATTTTTTTTATTTTTTAGACGGTTATTTATATTTTAAGAAAAACCAGGAAACGTCTGATGCAAGTATACTATTTATTTTATTGTCAAGTAAAAAAAATATAATCTTCTCCACAATATATGGCATCTCGTCCAACTAGATTAAGAATTTATTTATTTATTTAGTTTTTGATAAAAGTTAGGTGAATTTATTTTTAGTTAGTGGGCACTATCAATGTTTCCTATGCATAAAACATAAAGTTTTACATTGAAATCTCGGCGGAGACGGTTCTTACAATATTCATTTTGCACATTTGAAATACTGACAGCCTGGTACTTGAAAAAAAAAAAAGTTACTAGCACCGAATCCGATCTAAATCTAGGAGACATCTGGGTTTACGAGCGGTACCCACAGCAGGTACCCGGAGCTTGAGCCACGCCCATTTTACACAAACCTTTGAACTTATATCCAATCACCTTTCAAGTTCCCAACACTGCTCATGAATAAGGATGACTTTTTAATACTGCATCGAGAGACTGGTAGATGGTGTGGTTTAGTTGGGGAATATTGACAGAAAGCCCGTGAACCCCAACAAAACTCCTAAAAAGGACTATTTTGCCTCCAAGTCGTCGGAGGTGACTATGGCGCACGCCGGGACTCTACGCATGTCCGTGCTGCTGATTTTCCTGCAGTTAGTCCTGGTCATCTCGGCACAGGTAGGAAACAAGGGATTTCTTTAGCAGTTGAGATGGACTGTGTGGGTCTTTTGGGTTCATGGGTTGAGTGAGTCACTGTATGGCTCTTAAAATATCAAAACATTAACTAAAGTCAGAAACAGGAATGTGTTTTGATGTGAGATTGTTAATTAATAAACAGCCCACTAGGCTAGCAGCAAATACATTTTCACAAACGTTGTCTTATATTTCTAATGTTAATTGATGCCAAGATTCTTTATTAATATTATCTGAATTTGCAAGTATCTGACAGCCAGAACATTACTTGACATATGGAAGGTATTTTCTGTAAATTAGTCCAGGTGTGGACAGCTGTTTTCACTTTCCCAGCATAAGAGAAAAGCCATTATGATAATTCAGCATCAGGCGCGCATACAATGACTTCATTGTTTTAAGGACTTTTAAAATATATTTTCATTTTAGGACAGATTTTGAGTATGTTTTGTTTTGTGTGTGTTTTTTTTTTAATATTATTTATTTTTTTAGAGGGGGCTAGTTGGCCCTAGAGGGTTGCCTGGACCTCCAGGGCTTCCTGGATTTTCTGGAGTTGACGGCATTGATGTGAGTCACAATTCAGTTATTTTGTTAACAATTTCTCAGGAACAAATGAAAGGTCTGTCCTTTAATTAGTAAAATGGTAAAGTACTATATACAAGGTATGTTTGTAGCCATGAATGATGCCTTTTTTGTATTTTGTTTGATTTAGGGTGAGAGGGGTCCTGGCCCCGGCCCTGATGGCCCTCCAGTGAGTATTTTTTCAAGAAACAAATGAGTATACACAGTTGAAATTATATTCTACAATTCATTAATCTGATTAATTCGGCAGGGCCTTGATGGGGACAAAGGCAAAGATGGATTAAATGGCCTTCCGGGAAAACCTGGAGCGGATGTGAGTATTGTTGTTTAGTTTTGTTGAGGTCTGGAAACCGAGATAAAACCAGCTTTTCTTTTCTAAGTAACACTGGCACCATCAGAGCAAGTGTAGTTTGTATTGGAGGGGTCTGAGTTAAAAAAAAAAAATCCTAGATGGAAAAAAGGATTGGAGAAGAGAGTAAGGAGAAAGCCCATATTAGCTTCCTGGTGGAGACAGAGACCTTTTTGTGCAAGTATGAAGCCACAGGAGCAGAAATGTGTACTAGTACTGATGAAACGGAGCATTAAAACGAAGAACACCTTTTCCTTTTTTGACTCCTCTGAGCTTCACGGTTTAGTGCTTTTGAGTCATTTGAAAGAGTGATTTTTTTTTATCAGTTTTTTAGTCATGTTTTTCAGTAAAAATATCCATGCATCCTTAATATAAGATACATTTTCTTGAGAAGCAGGCTTGTTTAGGATGTGTTTTTTCAGAGACTATATCATGGGTTAAGTTTATTTTTCATACACCACTGGCAGATATATTTTCTGGTTTAATTAACGCATGAAGAAAGACACTTTTTTACTATCTTTTATTATCTTCAATTTTAATTCTCAAGTAATTTTATATGGTTTAAAATATTTTTTTTAAGTTTCCTGAAAATCAAGAAAAAAAATACTGATTAAGAAAGGGAAATTATTTATTTTTTTGTCCATAATAATCTATTATGTTAGCATTAGTTAAATATACAGATGTTATATACTAGGTTGCTTGATATTGTAGCATATCATGTTAGCATTACTTTGCAAAAAACCCCAAAAAAACCCATATAAAACATATATATATGTGTGTGTGTGTGTGTGTGTGTGTTTGTGTGTGTGTGTGTGTGTATATAAATAAAATTGTATATAGCATAAAATATAAATTTGCTGGATTTTGGTTCTAAATGTTGGTATTAATGATGTAAAGGGAACAATACATTCATACTAAACCATTCTATTATGCATAATTCTATTTAAAAAGAAAATAGATTTTGGTGACTATCATTTTGAAGAGATGTTCCCTGTTCCCTGTAATGAATTATTGAACACAGGTGTCCATCGTGCTCTACTGTACATATATTAGAGAAAATGTGGGCAGGGTTTGATATTTATCTAAGTCAGGAGAAAGGTAAAAGTCATTTCTTATTGAAAGCGGTTATCATTTTATTGTCAGTGTATGTCAGTTAATTGAATACAAATATTTAATAAGTATAAATAAT